ACTGCTTCCTTCACAGTCCAAACTTCACACTTCACACTTCACACTGCACTCTTCACACCCCACACTTCATCTCATCTGAGCTCTTCTCAATAGAACTACGCGCAACGGTGTCGGAAATTGCAGCTCCAAAACCGGATCTCGACGCCAAAGCAGAAAAAAGACGATTTTGAAGCGCTTTTTAAAAGGATTTTTAAAAGGAAAATTACTAGCGCCAAAATTGCGAAAATCTACTCGCAAATCACTATCGCAGCCTGGATGCAGCCACTCCAATACGATTTACGATGTTCAGCTGCAAAAGACAATAGTATTACGCATGCCGCCGCGGCACCGAGCAACCTTGACGCAGCCACTACAATAAGATCTGCAGAGACTGAGTTGCAAAACACAATAGAACTACGCGCAACGGCGTCGGAAATTGCAGCTCCAAAACCGGATCTCGACGCCAAAGCAGAAAAAACGATTTTGAAGCACTTTTTAAAAATATTTTTAAAAGGAAAATTACTACCGTGAAAATTGCGAAAATCTACTCGCAAATCACTATCGCAGCCTGGATGCAGCCACTCCAATACGATTTACGATGTTCAGCTGCAAAAGACAATAGTATTACGCATGCAGTCGCGGCACCGAGCAACCTTGACGCAGCCACTACAATAAGATCTGCAGAGACTGAGTTGCAAAACACAATAGAACTACGCGCAACGGTGTCGGAAATTGCAGCTCCAAAACCGGATCTCGACGCCAAAGCAGAAAAAACGATTTTGAAGCACTTTTTTAACATATTTTTAAAAGGAAAATTACTATACCAAAATTGCGAAAATCTACTCGCAAATCACTATCGCAGCCTGGATGCAGCCACTCCAATACGATTTACGATGTTCGGCTGCAAAAGACAATAGTATTACGCATGCCGCCGCGGCACCGAGCAACCTTGACGCAGCCACTACAATAAGATCTGCAGAGACTGAGTTGCAAAACACAATAGAACTACGCGCAACGGTGTCGGAAATTGCAGCTCCAAAACCGGATCTCGACGCCAAAGCAGAAAAAACGATTTTGAAGCACTTTTTAAAAATATTTTTAAAAATCCCCGTTGGGCGTCCCTGGATAGGATTCGGGGGGTCTGGCCCAAAAAAATATCCAGGGCCACTAGGCCCTATCAGTTATACCAATGGCGCTCCAACCTCACCACGGGAATTTTATCCAAAAACCCCTTTCAAAACATCGTATATTCACTTACCTGGCCTCTATGAATTTTATCCACCAGCACTTGCTCCAAAGATTCTATATTCACTTACCTAGTCTCCATGAATTTTATCTACCAGCACTTGCCTCAAAGATTCTATATTCACCTACCTGGTGTCTATGAATTTTATCTACGGGCACTTGTCCAAAGATTCTATATTCACTGAAATACCCTAGCGGCCCTAGCACTATGAATTTTATTCCCAAGAAATCTTTTCATTTCCCTGGGGGCCAAGGCCATGAAATCTACGAACATGAAAAACCGGGTTTGTGCTGGCAGGATTTTTTCCTGACCCTGTGCCCGAAAAATTATCCCTCTAGGACATTTATTCAGCCCCAACTTTGGCATTTTCAAAGTTCAGTGGGTTTGTCCCATGGAAAAATATTTAGCGACACTGGGGTTGCAACCAAAGAAAAGTGTGGAGTTTCTCGGAGCAGAGTTTGTTGGAGACTGCAAAAGGATAAACAGGGCTTTGGCCACTTGAACTTTATCCAGATATGTTTTGTGCCAGAACCATTGCCAATGGGTAACCAATGTCCCAAGACACACCACAAAACCTCAGACCCCAAGATTTTCATCTCACACATCCCTGTTTTGAACTTTGCCGGAACAGATCTCCATATTATACCCCACATGTGTGCCAACCTTGAACCAATGTCCCAAGACACACCACAAAACCTCAGACCCCAAGATTTTAATCTCACACATCCCTGTTTTGAACTTTGCCGGAGCAGATCTCCATATTATACCCCACATGTGTGCCAACCCATCTTGAACCAATGTCCCAAGACACACCACAAAACCTCAGACCCCAAGATTTTCATCTCACACATCCCTGTTTTGAACTTTGCCGGAACAGATCTCGAATCTCCATATTATACCCCACATGTGTGCCAACCCATCTTGAACCAATGTCCCAAGACACACCACAAAACCTCAGACCCCAAGATGTTCATCTCACACATCCCTGTTTTGAACTTTGCCGGAGCAGATCTCCATATTATACCCCACATGTGTGCCAACCCATCTTGAACCAATGTCCCAAGACAGACCACAAAACCTCAGACCCCAAGATTTTCATCTCACACATCCCTGTTTTGAACTTTGCCGGAGCAGATCTCCATATTATACCCCACACGTGTGCCAACCTTGAACCAATGTCCCAAGACAGACCACAAAACCTCAGACCCCAAGATTTTCATCTCACACATCCCTGTTTTGAACTTTGCCGGAGCAGATCTCCATATTATACCCCAC